TACAGGGAGCGTGAGCGAGCAGTGTGGGGCCTTCTAGAAGGCATGCGGAACACAGGGCTGGCATCTGTGATGGGTGTCCTTCCATCTCAGAGAACTGAGTAAACTTACAATTACAAACGTTCCTTTTCTGTGACACTTATCTGCTCCATAAATTGATAATATTTTGCTGAATAACTGAATGAGTGACTCTCAACTGACATATTTAGGAAGAAAGTTTATCTACCAGATTGAGCTGACAAGCATTATCTCCCTCCAAAAATATAAAGAGGGTCACTGTGGTTTTATAGTAACAGGCATAAACAGGTGACTTTTCTACTTTGTGGACACATTCACTGACCCACACCTGGCAACCGATCTAATGCCCACATGGGGAAGGTACTCAGCGCAGGGAGAAGAGAAGGGGAGAGAGATGCTGCTGCCTCCTGGGGCTGCCAAGTCCAGGAAAAGTGCCTCTTGTTGGGGATGGGCAGCCAAGCTCCTTGTCCTTCAAGGACTCCTTCCATGATTTCCCATCTGGGAAGATCCAGCGCAGGGTGGGGTGACGGGGCAGAGGTGGGTGCCGGCCCTTCATCCCCAGGCTCAGTGTTTTCTCAGCAGCTTGCCCTGTTAGGCTGTGACTAGCTACAGGGCCTTCCGCCCCCCGCCCCCGCCACCCCTTATCCTTTGTCTACAGAAACTACTGGTTATGATAATAATCTGGTCAAGCTTACCAAATAACATAACAGCACCTCTTCTCAGACTTATGTGAATCCTGCCATCTTATCTTAAAAACTGCATCAGTGTCATAACAGAGTACCCCAAACTGGGTGACTTAAACAATAGTAATTTACTCTCAGTTCTGGAGGCTAAAATCTGAGATCAAGGTGTCAGCGGGACAATGCTCCCTCTACAGGTGCTGGGCAAAAATCTATCCCAGGCCTCTCTCCAGCTTCTGGTAGATCCTTGGCTTGTGGCAACACCTCTGATTTTCCCATGGTGTTCTCTCTGTGTGTCTGTCTGTTCCCATGACACTTTCCCTGTGAGTGTCTGTCTCCAAGTTCCCCATTCTTATAAGGACAACAGT